TAAAAGTTATCCTCATTTGTGAAGATTATCTTCACTATTATCGACTAGCAAATCTATTATCCAGTAGCAAATGGGAAAAACCTACAATTATTTTTGCTGATTGAACCAGGGTGATGCCAACCGCAGTACCTGCAGTACTTTAATGCAGACAACCTGTATGGAAACACATTTTTGCTGTTGGCACAGAAATTACACACTTCACTTTTAAGAGCTAAATCTGTGACACAAATTCATGCTGAACATTAGGAGATTTATAGCAGATAAACATCAAATTTCATTTTTGGGTGAACTATCCCTTTAAGATTTTCTGGTTGCCAACCTCTATAAGAAGGGGCACATGTACAGTACAAAGCTGAAAAACATGTTCATGGCATTAGAACGAAACATTCAGAGTTGAGTTGCTTAGTACAGGTTGGCAACTGTCAAAGGACACACATATGAACTGACATGCACACACAAACACAAACATGTACACACTCTCCTCAAACCCGTCTGTTGCTCTTTAAAGAGTGTGTCACTGCCCCAAGTGGTGAGGGGGAGTGTGGTCATCTGTCTGATCTTGCCTCATGTATGTATGTCTTGTGTGTGTGTGTGTCTTCCCCCACGGCCCCCTGTAGCGCTGAAAATGTGCAGTGATGAGTTAGCTGGTGGGCTAAGATTATTGTGCACAGTACGTAGCCTCAGGCTCAGCTGCATTGTTTCTGCAAAGCACACTAAGAACAAAGGGCACTTATGGCGTGGGGTGACTGACTACTGTGTGTTTGGTTCTGTAGGCTGTGTGTCCCGTCCTCCATGGTCCCCTGCCCTAACCTTTGATTCTCAGTGATGAGTGTGCTTGTGGGTACAGATGAAAGTGTGTGTTCTTGTGTGTGTATATGATATTCAGTGTTTGTCATGTGATATTTCATAAAGTCCACTGAGAGAAAGAGTAGGAGGAGGTCAAGAATTGTAAAAAGTACAATACAAGTACATATCTGCACATGCACATGATCGCATTCTGGGAGAGCGGACTGTGTGCGTGTGTGTGTGTGTACAGATTCAACATGAGGCTACGATTAGGAGATAAATAATCCAATTAGCTCAGTATAAAAAAGAGGTCAATAAGAAAGATACAAAAACAAATGTGTTGTTTGCATGTGTCATGACATGGGTACACAGGTGTGTGTGTACAGATGGGCTGCATCATGCTGAAGTTGGAGCGCAGTGACCTCAGTCACGGTCAGGGAACAGAACTCTGACTCAGTGCAGCCCACACACGTGACACTTGCACACAACTGCTTATATGAATTTCTAATACTTCTTTTGCACAACCATTTGCACATGTAGCAGCTTTTTGTCTACTAAAACTGCGGCTCTGGAAATTAAAAAACATGCATTGCCATTGAGTCCCTATAGTAAACATATTCTGAAGGAATTTCAGGTTAATAGGATCAAATTTGATTTCTAGAATCCTCTTGGATATGATGTTTAAAATAAATCACAATGGGAGCTATAGGGGTTTTAAAATTCTAAAAGATTTTTGTTAGAATTAGCTACACCTGATAAGTAATTTTTAGGAGGAGGTTGATCCTCTTTCCAACTCAGTGATTCTGTTTTACATTTTTTTTTCTGCCATGTTGGTGTTATATCTTTCACTTGGATGTTATTTTCAAATATAAGTACAATGTAAAAACATGTATGTACACGATAAGTGCATTGTACCGAATGATTAATTTAAATTAATTAAATGTAAGTACATAGTAGTTAAGGCCACTTAATATAAAGTGGGACCAAATACAGTAAATAGTCTGCTATATTTATTTTTGACTAGGCCTAATATTTTTATGCCAGGTTTTACAGGGTTAATATTATACATGGCATTTCATTAAAATTTCTTATACTGATATTTTATTTCTTATTGGAAACTATTTCTTTATTCATGTCTTGTAGGAAATACTGTCCTTTCACAACAACAAGAACAGAGTTGTTTCCACAGACTTAGCAATTATTTCCTGTGGCAGCACTCATATTGTCATTTTATTGTTGATGACCACAAAATTCTTAAGTTGGGACCAAACTGATGTACTGTGCATGTGACTAATCCTAATCGCACTGCTCCAAACGGGATTCAAACCAGCAGTCCATCACTAATACGCCTCTTGAGGCCAGGGGAGTGAGATTTACCTGTGCTGCATGTGCTTACTG